AAAAAAAAAAAAAAAAAAAAAAAAAAAAAGAAGGGGGGGGGGGCAACAAGAGAACACTTCAAATTAACAGCAGTTAACTTCTCCATGGGCCAAAATTATATCATATATTTTTAGAAGAAAGCTTTCTAAGGTCAAGTAGGTTTGGGCCTGTGTCTTATGAAGCTGACAGCAGGACTGTTGATAAGTGACAGTAGTAAGCATTCTCAAGAATAGCCTACTTTATCTTAAGTAAAAGACAACCATGACAGCCCTCCAGGGGAAAACAGCCAAAATCCATAGTAAGGAACATTTTTATTAGGACCTACTTAATTGTTTTTATTTTGGTATGCTTGGGTGTCTGTGACCAGTAATAGTTACTCATTCATTCATGAGGATCAACCAAAGCATTACCAAACTCTGCTAAAGTGTGAGTGTTGGGAAGAAAAGAAAATATTAAAAAAAAAAAATAGGGCAAGGGCCAACCAAAGCCAAATTGTAGTACTAGCCAGTAGCATCGGAAGAGGGGAAAATGTTAAAATATGCAGGATGGCAGGCACAATGTTACAACTGAAGCCCTTCCTCTTTTCATGGTAATTATGATACTATAAAACAGTAACAGGAGAAGTCTCAGAATGGAAGTATAGTACCCCCTAAAGCCTGTAAAAATACGGATTCTGCCACCAAAAATGATGATGTGTTTGTATTTTGACCTGATACACCATTTTGCCTCATACTCAGTTCGGCCAGGAGGAAAAAAAGGTAGAGGAAAAAAATCTATCAACTCATGAAGCGTATCAGGTTTCAAATAGTGGCATGGATAGCAAATGCTTGCTATGTGAAACATGTTTGAGTTGTGTGCCAGAGGTTTGAACTAGTATGCGGTACTTGACAGAGAACTATTCAGCAAGTTAAATACAGCAAATTGGAGCTGTTGGATGAGAGATCAGCTCTGTGTTAGTTGCCTTACAAGGACTGGTATCAGTTTTGCTTAATAATTAAAATGCAACATTGTCAGCTTGGCAATCCTTCACAGACGGCCCACAGAGATGACTAAACTGTTCTTTAATTATCTATTAGCCTGCCAACCAACAAAAGACTATGAAGATTGAAAAGCAAAGTGTTCATACCTGGATCACTATTAATTGTCGCACTAAAACCCTTTTCCTGGGGTGGAGTGGGGGGGGGGGAGTCCCAGCAGCAGCAGCAATTATTTTCCCAGGGCTGCTCAGTTATTTCAAAATGTGGCAGCCCACTTCAAACCCCAGTTAAAAGCCAAAAAAGAGTACTACCATCATGATTATTTTTTTACTACTGTTGAACACCATTCAGACTTTCTGCTTCAGCCACCAGAATGTCTTGGATTGTCTCTATACTTTTTTTTTCTACTTATGTATGCAGACACATATCCTTTGCAGAGTTCCACAAATCAGGTTGCTCTTCCTGGTTTCCATAAATTGAAAAGAATATCAAAGAGGAACAATGTCTATTTTCATTACTGAGGGCATGCTGAAATACTTTTAATTTCTCTTTGGCAATTTGGCAACAGTTACAAGAAGCACTTCCCATGACTGCTTTGGAGTACACCAAACACTTGGGAAGAGATGGGGCATTTCTAGATTAAGCTTTTACTGTGTAATTATCTCAATACATTCACCCTATCTATAGCAAAGGCCTTCACAAGATACTCATCTCTGGCTAGTCCTCTGGCACAACTTAAAAGCCATGGGTAGAGTCAACAGTAAAAAGAAGCAAAACTCTAGTAATGCAAAAGAAGGAAGCTTCACAATACTGCAAGACAATGCACATCTGCCTTACTGCCCCTCACTTGCTCACAATCGCTACTTGACCTTCTTAAGGTGAGAGAAATTGAAACTATAACAATTCCCAAGATACCATAGAAATGGTGCTGACTCTTAGCAACCACATGCAGTACATAGATTTTCTCCAGGACAATCTGCCCCAATCCTTTCAGGTCTTCCAATGGTGAACCCATCACCACTGTAATTGAGTCCATCCACCTTGCTGCTGATTGTCCTCTTAGTTTCCTTTTTTCCACCTTTCCCAGCTTAGAGCCTTCTCCAAAGAACTAGGTTTTCACATGTGTCCAAAGTAGGATAATTTGACCCTGGACATTTGTGCTTCAAGAGAGAATTCTGGGTTGATTTCTTTGTTTTCTTGGCTCTCTATGATATTCTCAGGAATCTTCTCCAACACCAAAGTTCAAAAGCATCAATACTCTTTCTATCCTACTTCTTCAAGTTTAACTTTTGCTTCCATAGAGTGTCCTTCTATGGAAAAATCATAGAGAAAATCACTGCTTGAAGATGTTCAGTCTCAGGCCCCCAGCTGCAGATACTTTGTTAACTCCTCTCAGATGAGGGCCTTAAAAGAGGAAGTAAATAAGAACCAGCGTTTTATTTAAAGGTATTCTGATCTGTCAGTTATGTTACTGAGTTGTTTTCATAGTGATGCCAACATGTGAGTCCTCTTTCTATGTTACTTTTGTTTTCACTCCTAGATTATAAGAGTGGTTTTCTTCCTTCATTTTAACACAAGAAACAGTCTTCTCTTTGAAATAAGCGTATTTTACTGCAGTATCAATGGCATTTTATTCTACACAAGGGTTGTCTCTCCTGTAAGAGTATTATGTTACAACTAGTATATCTTGGTTGCAAACTAGATGGCAGAAAAGAGTTAAGGGTTCTCCACATTCCCTTGCTGCCATCTAGTGATCATCGGGTTATTTGAGGAACTGCCTCTCCTCAATTACATCTGGCCCGTCCCATTAGATCTGGCAGAGAAGGCGTGCTGTGGGTCCCATTTGTCAGGGAATTATACTTGACGGGCCTGAGGAGGCGGGTCTTCTCTGCCATGGTGCCTGCCTTATGGAACATTCTCCCCACTCCACCCCACCCCCAAAGCATCCCTACTTATTTTCTGGAAGTCCCTCAAGACCTTCCTTGCTGATCTAATCTGCTGTGTGTATGTGTTTTTTAAAACTTTTTAATATGACTGTGTTTGACATGTTTATTATTTTATATTTTTTGCTGTACGCCGCCCAGAGTCACTTCTTGTGAGATGGCCAGCCATATAAATTTGATAAATAAATAAATAAAGTGGAAGTTTGCAGTTCATATAGGTAGGTAAGCAAACACATGACGGTGCCAATACATTTATATATAAT